GACCTCAAAAAAAAAAAAAAAAACAACAATTATTCCCTCAACTGTTTTACGCTCCCTCTTACTCCTATCTGCAGCTGCATTCTATATCCGAGAAACATCGTTCCATTCCCTTTAACATCTTGTTAACAATTCAATCGCAATCGCACGCGACAGACAAATATAATTTTATAAATCAGGCGAGTGGTATTATTTTTCTTCCAATTTCGGATTTTTATTCCTTATGTTTAATTTAACAAGTTTGATTATATTACTTCTTACAAATAAAAAGAAAATTGCGATCTACAAGATTGAATTCTTTTAGTTTTTTTTTTTTGTATATCTTTATGTGTTAAAAAACATATATTTTATTATAATAAATAAAATATTAGAAATTTGTAATATAGACAACTAATTAAAATATTATTCGTTTTATAATCACATGCATAGTAATTTTCATTTTTCTTAATAAAATAAATATTTGAAAAAAAAAGTGTAGAGGCATTTTTGTTGAAATTGTATACTCTTACACTCTCTTGTTTATCGTTTATCGAAACAAACACGAACATACTTTAATCAGTTTAACGTAACGAAGGTACAACTTGAGAAGATTGAAGAGAGTTTAAAAGCTAGTAGTAAGCGAGGCAAAAATTTCGTGTAACCTTGAGAGATGGAGTGTTCGCATATACGAATGACGACAAGCTGTGCGGCCGAAATGAGAGAGAGAAAGTCACTGAAAATTAAATAACCGTTTCCCGTATCAGCTGTTATCTACTTAGGCTTGCTCAGGCTATCGCGTGTTTGTCCGGGAGCACAGAGAGTCGTTGCGCTCCTTCTCTAAGTGTTTCTCAAGAGAGACAAAATTCATCGCCGTGCATACACACACACACACACACACATACACATACAGCAGATATACACAGACTATCATGATGTATTGGTCGAATGACGAGCATTTAAATTCACGAAGCTATTCTCTTCACGTGGACAACAGCGTGTCGGTCGATCCGGTCTGTTTGTACAACTTGCAGGAACTATCTAATTTACGGAGAAAACGGCCGCCGACGTTGCAAACGAGACATGTATCGGTCTTTCCGACAAGGGCGCGAACCAGTGAATGGAATTTTTTCGAGCAGCAGGCGAGAAAATTCATTGTTTCCCTATGACGTCCCAGCAAGTTGTACAGAATGACTCAGAAGTGTCGCCGCATGTCTTCCATTCAAGGATTCTTTCACAAAAATGGGAGGTTCTAGGTACGATAGTGGCTTAGAAGCCATTTCTTTAAGAATTTGAGATAATTACTCTTAAATTTGAGAGAAAAGAGACAGTTAAATTTTTATCAAACGAATTAAATGTAATTTTATTGAGGCGATATCGTAGAATGACGTTTGCGCGACGACGGCTAGATTCTGCGTAGTTTGATATCCGATACTCGCCATGATAATCATCTTGAGTTCCACGTCGCGCACGGTAACTCGCAAAAGCCGCGGTATATTATAATTTCTGCAAAAAGATCGGTTTATCGCGGCGAGAATGCAACAAGACAAATTGCAATATAACGATACGGAGCGAAAACGTAATTGAGATTATTCCTTGCTAAATTAAGATCATTCCTAAAAATCACGAAATTTTTCTAATTAAGAGGTTGGTAATTTTTACACGCACACCTATAATTTAAAAAAAATTTCTAAGCATATGAAAAAAATTTGTATTTCGATATTATATATTTAAAACTGTCAATCAGCGAAAACATGAGCAACATCTCGTTGCTTTCATTATAGTGAAGAATTTTTTGTCTTCTCTCTTAGAAGTATACGTGTATAATTGTGTGTTACAAGGTCAATAATACTACAATATTTCTTTTCTCAAGGAGTCTTCAGAAGCAGAACGTTGCATGATACGCCAATATCGCGCACAATTTTTTGCGACTAGAACCACGATGGTTAACAAAAATGACGTTGAGGATTCATAGAAATAATGATCGGATCGGAATCGTGTCGATAGATACGCTACTGACGCTAGTATGATGACGAGTTATCTGGCATCCGACCAATAGGAGCGCTTAAACAAGATATCCTTGTACTCTCGTAAAACGGAGAAGCAAACGCTGATGTAATTCTCATGTTTCATCGGGAAGTGCTCGATCGGAGTAAATCCGTGGAACGATCAGTAGGATAATCTTGTGTTGTGTGACACGATAATAATAATTAAGTCATTCGGAAGACTTTTCTCGTATGAACAAACGTATTTATTATTGCTTTATTTATTGTATTTATCACTACTTTATTTATTGTATCAACTCCTTGCGTAATACATTCTGTGCATATTTTTAAAACTTGGATCAACGCCTTTTTTCATTCTGATCTCAACGGATAAAAAATTCATTTTAAATTCAGAAATCCACTCACACAAGTCTCAGAGAGCAAAACTGTTTTTTTAACCTTTTTGATATTATATCGGCGCATAAAAATGTCGCGAGCGGTCTTGTCATTATCAATACAATTGACAATTGCCAAAAAAACCGCAGTTTGTATTTAAACAGTTATTTCAATGAAAGAGTATCAATGCACAATTAATTGCTCCGTCTGTCTGGCGAATGGCAATAACGATTTGACGGCAGTGCCCGATCACGCGCGAATACCTTCGCGAAAATGTACGAGACGGACGCACGGAAGGTATTTAACTTTCGAGGCCGTAAAAAAGCCGCGCGACGTCAGAGAACGGACGAAAGAGAAAAAAAAAAGAAAGAGAGAGAGAGAGAGAGAGAAGGGAGATGATCGCTATCCCATTATAGCCGAAGACCGCCTGGCATGGCCCAAAATAGTCCACATGAAGCCACGTCACCGTCGATTGGGACTATCTCGCATCGAAAATTGTACTTCTGGACAAGCCGTATAGCTCGTCTAACGAACGTGATCCGACGAAACGATTCGTTGCATCTTTATCTCGGAGCAGTTGATACGCAGTTAACTCTTTCGCTACGATGATGTAGCTCACTTGAGGTTATTGTAGAAGCAAGGAGAGAGATATTGCGATCAAGAGAGATGTGCATTTAATAAAATTTGCGTCTTCGATCCCTGCTCCAAGACCGGTTTGAGACCACGTCCAGTTTTTTGAAGGATAAAACAACTTCTTGAATTTTCTTTAAGATCTCTTCGTTAGAGATATCGAAAAAAAACTATAAAGAATATTTTTTTATGACATATAAAACAATTGCCCCTTTGTTTCATCTCCTGGATCACAAAAGACAATCTCTTTTTATTAGATCCTTTTTTGACATCTTTTACAAAGATATCTAAAAAAATTAAACGTTATCCATACGGAAATTAAACTTAAATTTTCAGATTAACTTTTCGCATATATATTTTCACTTCAGAGCCAAAAATTTATCGAATTTGTGATTATCGATTTATAGTTCGCTTGTAAATCTTATGAGGAATGTGCAAATTCATGAAAAATTCAAGAACATGTCAGGTATATCACAATCAAGCAATCAATTGCTCTTTTCGATGGAAAGCTCAAGTATGTACATACTGAGTATATACGATGGATCAATGATCATGAAAACAAACAATAGGCTCTATATCTCTCTCTCTTTTTCTCTTCTTAAATTTGCAGAATGGCATTAAAGAAATCTAAATATTGTGGTTTTACTGCTTTAGGATAGCCTGCATAAAAAATGGGAACTGTGTGAATTCCGCGCTTGAATCTAGACAACAAATTCTACTATCACCGTACACGTGTCCTAAATTTCTCCCATAAAAGTTTCATGATATTAATATAAAGGAGCGATTGATCGATCGAGATAACAAAGGGAAAGCTAATATCGTTTAGACGAATCGTAAAACAAATACTACATATTTGTTACAAGATATTTACCGCTTGAAATCTTGATATTCTAACGATGATTAAGAATGATTATGAATTTCTAAGAATTAAATTTTTTTTACAAATTATACAAGAAAAATTCAATTTCATCTAATTAAAATTAATAACACAAGCGAATATTTAAAATAAACATAGTAATACTTTAAAGAGATTCAGTTACTTTTTAATTTTAACTTTAATTTTAATATTTCTGACAACTAATTTGTAAAAAACTGTCACTTTAAATATTTTTTTATTCTAGCAATCTGCACGGAAGAAATACCTTTTATTTGTATCTACATCTAATACCTTTAAATTTACGAGAGGGAGAGAGAAATTTGTATTTGCAATCCGTGAGCCCAGATACATATATGGATTTGGAGATAAGCGATCGCACAATCGTGATTTCTTCGCGTATTTTATTTTGCGTCGGTTGTCACTCTACATTCTACATTCTGCATGCAGGAGAGGACAATAAAATCGCGCCCGATATCAATCGTTCCCGTAGACTTTCCGTAGACTTAGTTAGCGAGAACCGCTTCTTCGATCTCTCCCTATAGCGTTAGTAAGACGCCTACTTGAAGAATTATACAACGAGCAGGCAACGCTTACGCACAGCTAGCGGTATCATGCGTGTACTTTATTCGTTTGCACGTGTCAAGAACTCGTTCGATTGTGCCCGTAACCGGTACACACATCTCCATGATAAGTAGAACGAGAAACTAGAATTCGAAATGGCAGAGACAAGAATATATGATCGAAAAAATTTCGTGATTGTAGCAAAATATATAAAAAAAATTATACGTGAAAAACAATTTTTTTTTTTTTTTCATATATGTATAAATAATATTTAAAGAAAAAGAATTTTTTTCGCGTTGGGATAGCCGTCCGTACGATTAATGTTTAAAAATTCTTAATTCATTATTTTGTGCGATTTGGTCCTCTCACATTATAGATAATTCGCTTGTTGTAGAAACCTTTTAACAGTTTCGCGAGATAAGATAAAGTCGCGATTTGTGCCTATGTGGGTCAAAAAGTTGATACGCAATTTTGTAACCGTTAAATCGTTGCATAAAATACCGATCGCTCGCGAAGTAAACAACGACGATCGCCAAATATCATGTATCTAACATTCGATCTCTTTAGTGCTCACTTACCCATAGATCGTCGAAAGTGATGGAATTATCGGTATAGAAAACCAGAACTTCGGCCGTAAGCGGTGACGTCTCGCGTAGCTTTGACGCCAGTAGGAGACAGGCGGTGCCGAGTAGCTGCAACTGCGACTTTCTGATCGGACAGATCGACAGGAATCTGTCGACATAGTTCATCGACAGCGGAAAGACCTCGTCCTGGCACTTTTGCTCCTCGCATACCTGCAACATAGCGTACAGAATGATGAGGAGACGTGTGTAACATACATTTGCGTGATAAAGCAACGATGAGATCGTTTCAAGGCCGAATGATCGGAGAGTCGTTACCGTGATAACGTTTGAATATGAGCGAGATGCAAATTTAGCTCGTCAGCTCAGCAAGCCAAGAATTACGCTGCAAATCGTAACATGTATCTCGTAAAAATATTAAATGTATATGCGCGAAGCGCGTAAAAGATTATAAGCGGATTAATCAGTAACAACCGAAGTATCTTTCTTTGTATTTTTGTAGACGTGACTCATTGTCAGCTAGAATAGTTTGTATCTCCCGCCTCTTTTCTTTTTATTCTTTTTTTCTAATTTTTCTAATTTAAAGGATTTACGAGACGCATTGTGCGTGTATGTCAGAGAAAAAACAAATTTTTACGCAATGATCGCTCGTACTAACATAGGCGTAGGATACAGATATCTCACCGGATTTCCTTTGATCGTATTTTAACTTAACAAGCGCGGTCGCAACATGATTGCATATCGATCGTCGTAGGTCGGAAGATTATTCAACTATGGAATTCTTTTGTCGCATAAATATCGCCGTAAAATTTATAAAAATCTCTCTGAAAGAACTGGTGGTACTTAGAGTAAAACTTAACTTTACTTCTCTTATCATGGAAAAGAAATCGATTGCCTCTGACAGAGATAATCACTTGTATGTCTCTATAATCAAACTTTCGTGCTTATAATTTTTTTGCGACATTTTCATAGCCTTCCCGAGAACCCATTTCTATCGATCGTAAAAATATAATTTAACAATAAAGACATTACCTAATATCTTATCGATAATAATTTATCGCATGCATCAACGGCAATTGCAGCAACGAATGAATCGCGTTTTTTGTTATCGCGTTTATTACCGCTTGTTTATTATTGCGTGTTTACATAAAACGCGTAGCAGTCGGAGCGACCCTTTGAAGTTTCGGGGACCGTTGAATTGCGGTAGAATCGCGAATTAACTTCGCTCGGTCATCTCGGGGCGAGCGGCTACGTGTGATCGTGCGAGTCGTCGAGGCGCGAGAGAGGAATTTATTGAGCGTGACCAATGATTGCCGGCCCAGCCCTCGCGACCGCACGCATGCACGCACGCATATGCACCCTCTCGTAATTACTCCGCCATAGCCACCACCACCAATTAACAACAACACCGACCTAATAAAATAATCGCGTTAACCTGACTATCGAAAACCATATGTAAGATTAGTTCTGTCCAAAAGAGAATAAAGATGTGTGATTGTGGAAGTGTTTCTTTCGTTTGGCGATCATTGTTATTAAGAATAACGCTCAGAAAAAGTTTCCATATCTAGCCCTTTTACATATGGTCAATATTAATCTGTGAAAATCACATTGGTCATTTTGATTCTTTGACATTTTAATAATAGAATATCCCAAAGGCCTCGATCAATAAAAAAATATTTAAAATTTATTTTTTAACTTTTACAAGATCTTTTTCTACAGATGTCAAAGATTATAAATCTTTGTACAGTTTTTCAAATATTGTAAGACAGCTGAAACTGTGACAAGACATTGTGACTCATATGTGACCAGGAACAGAGCAAAAAAAAAAAATGTGTGACCTACAAGGGTTAATTATTCAAAATCGATAAAGACAGGGACAAAGAGAGAACGCACTTTTAACGAAATCGCTTCGAAAGATTATCGTGCATCTGTTCAAACATTGACAAAAGTCGAGGCAAAGTTAGGATCAGAGAAAAATCCATAAAATGCAGAAGCGATGAAATGGAGCCACAAATCAAAAATAAAGATAAAGAAACTCTAGCAATTTTTCGCTAAATTGCAGTGTTATATGCATACAATATTTTTTAATAATACAGAATCGTTATATATTCGCGCAACAGGTTTTCTTTATGGAAACTTTAATTCTTAAAACGCGCGAAAAATATTTACCGAATGCCTGACTGAGTCAAGCAATTACCAAAGTTGTTGCACCGAAACGTGGCTTTACATTTACATTCACGATCCGCTTTTAATTGGTAACCGATAACGAATGTCTCGAATCTTTACGGGATGATTCGCCTCAAAATTTTGTTATTCTTATCTGTGTGACATTATCGAGCTTGCTGATCTTTCTTATAAGTTCGGCGCCAATTAAGCAGAACTGTCGCCGATAAAGCCGATAGCGACCGGTCTCGTATGTCTCGTATGCATCGATAATAATCGAGTAAGACCCGTCCAAAAAAAAAAAATCTTATTTTATAAAGGAAGGATAAGAAATTCAGTACTTTTAACGGAGAAGGAAGTTTGGAACCGGTACAAATTCGATGCCCAAATGTTTGTGATGCAGTTTCGCGAATAGATAATTCGATACCTTTGCTATCAGCAGCATTATAAAATTATATGTACAGGGTAACAAGCGAGAAATGTTATCGTGCAAATTGCTTCTCTTCGTTTCGTAAAAGATCGTTAATGTACTTGGCGCATCGAACAGTTAACTGCATCTTTAAATTTACAAAATTAAACCCGTAAATTTAGAATCAATTTAAAAACTCAAAGACACACACACATACACACATTCTATTAGCAAATTAGATGATTTATTTTGTAAATTATTTTATACAATTTTGTATCAAAAATTTATATATATTTAACAAGCTAAATTATAGTTTTTTTTTTTTAATTAGAATTTTGAATAGAAATGACAAAACCGCTTCAATGTCTGAATAAGTATTGTATGTGCCACGGAATTATTTAGACTGCAAAATAGCTCTCATTCTTCTATAGTAGATTAATCTATAGTATATTTTGTTTTAACGGAGATTCAATTTTAGCTTTAATTAATAAAATGACCAATGTTGAAATGTATAAATCATCAAAAAATAATTATTTTAGATTTCTAGTTTTGAAAGTCGCTAAAAGAGGAATAAGTGAGCGCTTAGTAAATACCCTATATAATTACGATTACTAACTGCAATAGCTTTTAAAAGCCGAATACATTCCATCAACGCATACGACGACCTGTCATTACGCCGGTTGGATCGACGAGCCAGCGTAATGTCGAAGAATTCGAAGCGCGATACGGACTTGGCATGTGTGCGCGTGTAACACGCACGCACACACGCACGTACACGCGGCTGCGTGTGCGACCCAGGCGACTCGTTTTCGTCGTACGGAACACGCCGCCGAGGTCATCGCGTGAATTTGGTTGTTGCGATTAAATGTCTGGGGCGCAAGAGCAATTAAATGCTCGAAAAAAAAAGAGCACGCGATATCGATACAACAAAACTGCAAGGAAGTCTGGCAGCTGTGATGTAACAAAGAAGCTATATCTCGAATTCTCGTTTCATGCGATTTAAGCCTGCTATGTACAAGTCTCGAACCATATTGTAATTTCGTTAAATCTGCCGAAAGAATTTGTTGCACTAGAGAATTTCTTATATTTATATATATATGTTATGAAATTATGACGCGTATCATTATTTCTACAAAACGATGTTAATAAGAGTAAGACATCGATAAGTGTTTTCTTTGCAATCATTAATAATGATTAATAGCTTTCCGATATCAATATCAAAATATTGAGTGTTTTTAATTGCTACTAAATTGTTCCGGACTAATAAAAAATATGTTTCGATGAATTCTAAATTATTATATATGAATAAGAGAGCGAGTAACTCTATAGATATCGTATGACTGATCGAACAATGAACAAGCTTTTTGTGAGCCGCAATGACAAAGTATGCGACTTTGGTGGCGGTGAAACAACCGGCTTATCGAACGCTCGTCATCGTCGTCGTCGTTCTCGTCAGAAGACGCTTCTCGACAATTGCAAAGAGAAACAATTTGGGCTTTTGTGCCGAGGCAGAAAGAGCGAGCATATATCGAGCAGCGCACGCTATCGGTGCGTGAGTCGAGCGATATACCCGTATCGTTTCGGCTTTGATTTAAACAAGAGCGAGGTAAAGCAACGCCGAAGGAACACAACGACACGAGAATCCGGTCCGGAAGCGGAGGAATTCATTACCATATCCGACGAAGAAGGAAGTCTAGGCGGGCAAGTGACGGAATTAATTCGTCGACGCTACCAATCGTTTCTTCCCGTACGGAAAGAAAATTCAGCTGTCACCGAAGTCTATTTATTTGTTATTGTTATTAGTTTTATTTACTGGGAATATAGTTTTATTTATCGCAAAATCGTTAACAGAGAGGGAGGGGGCTGTATCTAATCTTAAGTTTCTAAGAATATATTTAATTCTGTCGAATGTAATTAAACTAGACACAAATGTGCGATAACCCTGTGGATTGTGGCATTGCAATATCGTTATCGCAAAAGAGAAATTGAGAATAAAACAAACAAGAATATATCTTATGCTCTTATGAGTATGTTAAATACCTTTGTCGTTTAATAGCTGCGTGTTATGCAAGTCTGTCTTTAAATCGCCGTCATTAGATCAGAAATTCGATAACCGCGCGATAGCACGTAGAATTCGGTCGATCGGCTGCCGATTCTGCTCTTTAATCAGCGAGAATATGTGCTGTGGATGATACAATTCCCTTATCGGCAGCTTCGGAAACGATGACGTAAGTTAAAAGAGGGGACAGGGGAGGAATTTATCGACGACGGCCCGAATTTCTTGTTCAGTGACAGCTAAATATCAAAAATGTTACGTAGTTGCATCGCCGAAGAAATTGAATTCGTATATATATTACACATGTATATTAAGATCAAGTGTTATATCTTCGAACAATGTCAATCTCATTTGAAAGTTAGAAACAGATAATAATTCTGGCAAAATCGTTGAGAAATCTCGATTTACGGTACACTTCTATTTTTAATTCCTGACATCTAAACATTTAACATCTAAAAATCCTTCATTCTTCGCATATCGATATCGAAAATATTTAAATTTAAAAGTGAATTAATTTTTTAATCTATTACGTTTTCAAGAGTATTTCACATTTGACAGATTAATTGAGCGAGATATTGCGTAACAATAGTAAGTAACGTCTCTATTATGCTTCGTTATGCACCGACAAAGAGTTTCGCAAGAATATGAACTTGATCCCAGATCACAATGCTTTCGTGACAAAAGAAGCGCAACAGGTTCTCGAACGCTGCCGAAACATTCGACAACCGTCCGCAAGGATCGATTTTTTGATTAAATCCAGACAGCTATCTCATTTGAGGAGAAAATTTCAAAACATACCGTCTTATTTCATAATCTTTCAAGAATAATTAATTTGGGAGTTGAAATTTAAAAAATCATCGTCCGTGAGAAGAGGTCGGAAAATAAGAGTATAATTAATTTTGGTATATTTAAATACAAGATATCTAATGAGATTTATGCCACAAACGTCTGTGTGTGTGTGTGTGTGTGTGTGCGCATATATATATATATATATATATATTAATTCTAAATATATAAGCATCACAAAACGCTCTGTCAACATAAAATCCAGCGATTACAGGCTCTATGATTATTAATTTAGAAAATTCAGCTTACTTGTAAATTTATCATTTCGCATAATATAAAAGATAAACATTTCATTTGTAGATTACAAAAAGAAAGACATCGAATCGTGATTCGAGAGAACCGAAATTCACATCTCACAAACCTGACCTTCATCCGTCCCGGGGTATATATATATATTTGGATCTAAATCAATTCAATTTGTTCTTTAACAGCGCCGATCAGCCGTGTTATCTCTTTGCTACGTTTTTAAATCGACGAATAATAAATTAACATTGTCGCGCGCGGTCATGTCTAAGAATAAGATTCCCGAACGACAACCACAACATTCGATCGAGATCTTTAACTTTGTAGTGGAAACATAATTTAAAATACCGCGACGTATCCTTCCTAAGCAGACGTATGTGTGTGTGTGTGTGTGTGTGTGTGTGTTATTAGAGATAACTTTTCTCCTCTCTATTTATTTAAACAAACATTTTACTGTATAATAAAAAGGAAAAGAATAATTATTCTCTTGTCTATATACAAAAGAAAATTGACGTCAGTCTGTCGGATCATAGGTCATCAGTGTAAATTTTATTTTTAGATTGCCGTAATTTTTTTTCCTTGCAATCGGCATTTGTCAAGATACATAATCATTTTGTCTCAGAATCGATTTCTTTAACATCGAATTAATTTTAATCGTAATTCAATTGTCTTACTGGCGTTTTGCAGATCCTATCTTTAAAAAAAACAAAGACAGAGATAGAGAGAGAGACAGTTGAAGAGTAGTCGGTTAAAGTGTTATTGGATTCTATTCTATATATGATATCATCCTAAGATAGAGCACTTATATAATTACATCATAATTAAGAATTGTCATCGTTTATTATTCCAAATAGTACGATTTAAAAAAAAAAAAAAAAAAAGAGAAATGAAGAATTAAAAATTACTTATGCTGGAACTTAATCAATCTTTATATCCAGTCGACTTTTTTATTCATTTAGCAAGTGTCAAGTCGCAGTCTACATTTCGCGAAATAATCTGATTCGATCGCGCGATCCGACGGCTGGTCGTGATCGCGATAATATATACGTATATTTACACGTGGACCGGAAACAATCGCTTACCTCTAACATCCATTCCGCGACGATCTTGCGCATGAGCGGCGAGATGTCCCTCTGCACGCACTCGAAGTAGGAGCTACTGGGCGCGTAGCGTTCCTCGGTCTGCAGGAGATTCTGCAGAACCCGGTCGTCGCCGAGGAGGGCCGGATCCGCGTAAGCCCGGCATTCGGTCTCGGTCGTCTCGCAGCACAGAAGATCCATAGCGATGGTTCACGAGACGGAGACGCGTCGATCGATTTTCTCACCACGTTCTTTAGAACACGTTCGGAATGTATTCTGTCCACGTGCTCGCTCTCTCAGAGGATCTCTTCGAGATCGATAAATTCCAGTGCGAGAGGAGAGAAAGAGAGAGAGAGAGAGAGAGAGAGAGAAAAAGAGAGAAAGAGGGGACACTCAACACTTTTTCACAGCGGACGAGGCAGAGACTTCGGCTGATCACTCACCTCGCGATGAATCGCGAATCGACGACGATGACGACGAGTACGCACGTATTACGTGCGTGTGCAGCGGTACATGTGTATGGGTGCACGACTGGTGATAGGCTCGAACGGTTGATTCGTTCGTTCGATCAGAGTTTCTCACTTTATTTTCTTACTCGCACATTTTCTTCGCCTTTCCGAGAAAGTATCTTCTTTCACTCTCTGTTTCTTAATCGGCAAAACGGAATCGTGCGATTATACTCTTCGTTTTCTTCGATATTTGTTCTTCACACGCACGATATATTCCGCGAATCGAAGCACAAAAACAGATAATAAATAATGCGTTGCGAGACGTTTCGAGGATCCTAATAAATAAGCGTAGCGTTGCGTGGAAAGTTTTTCGGTCGGTGCCACTTAATCGTTGCGCGATTCGTGATTGTCGAGTTCACGAGCGACTAGTTCGTTTATTTTCTCGGCGAAATCACGAGGAGAGAGAGAGAGAGAGAGAAAGAGTGAGAGAGGAGGGCTTCTTGATCGGCGCACAGGGGAAAGACGGCGGAAATGTGACGGTGAGACTGACGCGACGCGCGAGCAAAGGCGGTTTCCTTTTTTTTTTTTTTTCGGAGAGTCGGGCTCAGATCGTCGGTCCGTCTACCTACGGTCGATTTAAATGTCCTACGAGGTGCGAGGATCCCTCTCCACTTACTCACGATCCGACACTGGCGACTTATCAGGTCAGAATGCCGACGATTCTGGTCGTGTGGTCGTACGGCCGTCTCGCAGCCGGTCCTTCCCCCACCAGCTCGGCGCCAGCTGATCACGTGACCGCTGCCGGTTTCCCCCACCGGCGCGGCGCCAACGTGTCACGTGAAACGTAACTATCCCCCACCGAGGCGTGAGCGTGAGCGCCGCTCACTGAGCGGTCGTGGCGCCGGTTTAGCTTCAGTCGTTCAGTCGCCGAACGACTGTGCAGCGAGACGGATGGAGGTTTTTTGCATCGTGTAAAACTGGCCTGCGCATTCGACACCTAAAGACTTCGATTATACATGCCAAGAATGTACTCGTTTCTATGTGATATTCCTACAAATATACGATACTAATTTTTGGCATGTAATTTCAATCATGGGCTCTTTAAAAGGAAGGATTAATTATTTAGATTTTATATTCGAAGTGTAGTCAAACGCTTATTTTGTTCTCGGGGTATGTATATATATATATATATATATATTTCCCTAAAAAAACACACAATAGGATGTAGAAAATATACTCTCTGTAAAATAATATAATATTGAAACAAGATAACATAATAGAACCGTAATAAAAAATGAGAAGACATAGAAAGAATTAATATAAATGAGACAAAATAAAAAGAAAAATAGGAAATAAATGTGCGAATATACGAGAAAGAAAAGAAATGTACATAATACAATAGAAAAAGTAATTTAAAAAAAAAACAGACATGATCGATTTTAAAGCGCAGTGTACATAAGCAATTGATAATTAGAAAAGACGTCAATCAACTACAAATCTAAATCTTAAAATTTTGGTTTTAAGATCTTTACATTATTTCTCTTAAATTTAAATTGGCATAAAAAAGAAGTTTTTTACGTCTACGTGTTATATGCGCCGTTAGTATGTGGCAATCTGTTGCCGATGGTGGCAATAGTATTCAGCAATTCAAACTGGCTTTTAAATATATAACTCATAGATTTTATATTATCTTTTAATCACGCTTCATACATTTTTTTATACGCTCACCAAAAATTCAAGAAGGACAAGATATTATGTTATAAGAGATTATCTTAAATATTGCAAAAATACTTTAAAAATTCTAAACAAATTCAAATCTTACGCAACTCTATATAAAAACTGTCAGCAATTGTCATTTATATGTCGTGATAATTTAGCTAAGTTACTTTCTCATAATCGATTTATAGTCAGTTCTCGCGCTTCATACGTAATGCTCTTGAGCGTAACAGAAATATTCTGCACGTTTTCTTCGTGAGAAAGTTAAATATCGTACGTTTTTGAGTAGTCTCTCGCTCGATTCTGCCGGCCTTGGGGCCCCGTTTGAATACGACTCGACACTGAACGAACGGAGCAGCTCGGTCAACCTCGGTCCCATTCGCTTTCGTTCGTTCATCCGAGACATTGGAGCTCTCCTCCAGTTGCTCTTCCCCAATGAGCCTCTCTCCGGGCCCAGCTCTTGGCGAGCTTCTCGGTGTCGTGGCTTTATCGTGAGAACCAGAATAATCAAGGACAGAGATCTTAAGATACAGATTCCTAAACGACAAAACATTTTTCCAAAACTCGAATAAAATCGTTTCATAAAATAAGATATTACATGATGTGTTGTCATTGTATTTGCGAAGTTGTAATGTTTTTCATCAAAAAGTCATTTTTTAAATGAATGCGAAGAAAGTTTGGATATATATATTTAGATAACGATATCGAATTAAATAACGTTGCAGTCAAAAATGAGATTGTATTTTGACCAAAAAAATTTGTTTAATAAGAAAAATTCCTTGCTCTTCAAGTTACTAACATACAGAAGTTTCTAAGCAATATATTTGAATGCATTTGCAGTTTTCATAAATAAAAATATAAGCGTAAAGAGACAATTGTAATTATGTCTAAAAAAATATAGCTTTTGTCGATATCAATTTTAAGAAAATTTAAAATTTATTTTTTCTTAATAAAATCTATTTATTAATTTTATATTATAACGTTGTCTTTCTCTCGTCGTAATTGCTCAATATGAAATATTTTGATAATTAAGCTTAAAATAAAATTTAAAATATTACAAGTATTATCTGTTGTTTTCAATTGATTATAATTTAAAAATTAGTGCTTTGATATTCTTATCGAGAAAATATTAACAAAATATTCAATGAATCCGACGAGAAGAATGGCAACGTTTATGAATCATCTTTATACATTGACATGTTAATTGAATCTCGTTAAAATTTTTAAAACTCTTAAATTTTTACGTTATTCACCGAATTAAAAAAATTCTTCGTATATACGTATATATATTTAGAAAAGCAAAAAAGGGTCGCTTTCGGTGAGTAATTCGGAGCGATCGGTTGTGAAACAGGAATAAAGCGGGAATAAAAGAGGAAGAGTTGGAGGAGAGGTTTAGAGTGGGAGTAGAGCCACGTAAGAGCTAGCATGTCCTTGGTGCATGGAACCTCCGTGTGGAGTTTCGCCTCGTTTACGCGTACTACGTTTTTACTACACAATGCGTACGCGACGATACGCGCGTTTGTTACGGGACCACGGTCGGTTGCGACTCCGCGACCGGATGTGCCGTGCGTATGACTTAGGGTATGACAAACGACACGGTGCGAGCGCATCGTATTGCGCGAGACGATCGTATCGCCGTCATGATCGGAACGATAGTAATCGCCGCCAAGTGCATAGGGTTCTCTGATATAAGTTAGACTCGCAAGCACATGTAGTTAGGTCTTTTTTATTACGTCGTCGTCTCTCTTAACAAACTTATTTAAGAGAAAACTTTTCTTTCGTCTTTTTCATTTTTCAACTTTTCTTTCTTTCATTTTTTATTTTTTTATTTTATCTTTTTTTACATTACTTTAGAAAGAAATTAGAAAAAATATAAATTTTAGATAGAAATAAATTAAATCTGGTAGAAAAGAAAATTACACTTGCTAATGCTGCGATTATCAATCAATATATAAATATGTATAATAATAGATTAGATAAAGCTTAGAATCAAATAATCACATTTAATGTTAAATAAATATAATAAAATAATGCATTGTTAGTGTGTGTCTGGTTATGTAGTTAACATCAACATTAATCGATTATTTTAAAAACTATTCTGCAAAAAAAAAAAACGAAATTGGAAATCTATCGATGAGATTGTAGAGCTTTCTACTGAAACGTGGGAGCTGGATTTCTATTGATGGAAATATACTTCTCTTGCCGTTCAATGGAATTCCTATGGCGTTCGTATTCGTTAGTAGAAAAATTTGGAGAGTCGAACTGGTATATTATGCCAGTAACGACATTGGCGTAGCAATTAGTTTCGAGCGAGCGGCATGAGTTTCTTCTGCCGATGTTGTTTTCGACCTTTTTCGATACCTATATCATGTTAATTAGACAGTGGAAATTTTCCTATTATTAAACATCCCATACATTTCCTCGACATATTTCGACATATATATCAGAAAATTACAACTTTAAATTGTAAGGGGGAAAGTATTTTATTTTTTGTTCGATTAATTTTTCGTACGGGCATCAATTTTCAGTCACGAGCATTTAATCAATATAATTCCAAGCGTATCTATATAATTGTTTTTTTATACATTCTTCTTCGATTGGTCATAAAACGATATTTGAAATTGAAGGTCAACATGCAAGGATCAGAGACAAGTTTTATCAAATGATGTAGAGAAGAAAGCTTTGGCTAATTTTTTGATTTTCATGTAGCAGTTTGATAACTTGTATAAATCTTTAATTATGTTTTAAGTTAAATCGGAAATATACATCTATATGATTTCTAGCGGTTCAAAAATAATGTAGAAACATAAAAATACAAATCGTATTAATGAAATAAGACTAGCAGAATAATTAAGGTACTAAAAAAAAATTAGCATCAAACTGGCTTCATTTTAGCGAGGAAGTAAATAATAAAGATGTTGCATTTTTGTAATTATACCAAAGTATATTCCATTTTACATATGAAAACGAGATATGTCGAGAGATTTTAATTGATTCTCGCGATTAAGACTGTAATCTTCGCAATTATCGATTTTT